GATATTTTTTTTTTGTAATAGTGTATAATTAAATAGTAAAAAGCAAAGCCAGTCTTTTGAAATGAACGGAACCAAAAATGCAGATCCCCTGAAAGACCCATCACTATTTGTAAAGTGCTCAAGAGTCAGGTTTGTGATGATGCAAGCCAGCTCACGGTTTCTCTCACTACAATAAACATGCTTTTATTTTAATCTATTTTTGTCTGAAAAGTTACATATTGTGACTTTAAATGCATGTAATTGGAAGGACAAAACATGAAATAATGCGCAAAATCTGGTATTTTCAAAAGTGTCCTCACATCTTTGCTCCGTTTTGAAAACATATGAGATATGACAATGTTGCACAATTTACAACACTCAGTGAAATCCCCGATTACAAGGCTAATACTGTGATAAAACCATACAGTGACATTTTGACTTTGTGACATCCATTCAAATATGCAAAAAAAGGAAGGAAGAATAAACATGTTCTGCATAAACTAAAACATGATTGACTTGGAATCTCCTTTTTGAAGTTACAAAACATTGAAAGAGATAAACATTATGTAACCATACTCGCTACCAAGTTAGAAAATATTTGCCATTCCAAAAAACACTAACACAACAGATCTAGTCACACTATTCTGAATCGCAACAGCTCTCCACAACTACTGAATACCAGCAGAAACAGCCCATGCACCGCAGTTTGAGACCCACTGCACAAGTCAGGCTTATGTCATGAGCTGATTTTTCTCTAACATTAAAGGTGCATTGTGTAACTTTTCTGGTGGAGGGTTCATCAAATGTTTTTCCTCATGGAGATGTTATTGCTTTGACTGGAATGTTTCACAGTATGGTATTAATCCTTTCCACCTTCATGGTAACTAAACCAGACCAAGTTACAGGTCAGATCTGTGGAGAGGCGACCCCGCTCACAGTCAGAATGGCTGTTTTTCTAGGTATTTTCAAGGTAAGGTGGAGTTGTTTAATGTCATATTGTGGAATATTATAGACAGAGGAATGACTCTCCATAGAAACAAGCAGGTGATGACCCATCACCAGAAAAGTTACACAATGCATCTTTAACATTTTGTTGCCTTATCGTTCAATGTGACAGATGGAACAATTATTTTTGGGGTGTCAATATTTAGTGTGGGGATTTTTCCTTTGCACTAGTGGGGAACTTTTTGCTATTTTTACTGTTTTATGATTAGAGGATAAAATAAATCACTTTGATGACTAAAAATGAAATATAAAAAGAGTTTAATTATGCTATGTATTTATAGGAATATTATTTTAGCCATATGTACATTTAGAATCATTTTTTGAGGATAATTTGACTTTATTATTGTGTCAGTAACACATTAGTTTCAATATTACAGTTTATATTTTGCATTGTTTAAAGGTGCACTATGTAACTTTTCTAAGGAAGAGTCCACAACCTGCTTATTTCCATGGAAACAATATTCCTTTGCCTGAAATGTTCCACACTATGCCATTAAACTCACCCACTCACTCACAGTAAGAAGAATAAAAACAATGTGTAATGAACTAAATGAAATCTATATTTGTTTTTTGCCATGCTGTGTAGGGATGGGTATCATTAAGAAGTTACCGATACGATACATACCTCGACACAGTGAGCTTACGTTTCTATACAATATATTTAAAATCAATTCGATATAGTTCAATAAAAAATAAAGGCTAAATCATGGCTGTGATACTAAAAGTCTTTGTTAAACCACTTCTTGTGCAAAGTGAATATGAACCACACCTATTTCAATCATCAAAATTGTGAAAATGTCAAATGTGTTGCATAAAAGTTTCCTTCCTCTAAACAAACAATAAAACTGCTGAGCTTTAACAAAACAATTTAATAAAATGTACCTAAAAATACTCTTGACGGTATATCAATACAGCAGCCTGTGATATCAATACTGTATCATCACATTAAACGATACGATATATTGATATTTCGACATTTTTGCACACCTCTAATGCTGTGGAACATTCCGGACAAAGCAATAGCATGCCCATGACACAAGTAAGTTGCAGGCCCTCCATCAGAAAAAGTTACACAGTGCACCTTTAAAAGCTATTCTGAAATCTGAAGATAATACAAAAAAAAAGTTATATTTTAGATAATATTGCATTTCTATATGTAAATTTAAAAATACATACAGACTCTTATGTGATCAAAAAACATAAGAACTCAGTTAAAGGTGCATTATGTAACTTTTCAGGTAGAAGCTTGTTTCTATGGATATGTCACTGCTCTGTCTAGAATGCTCCACAGTGTGACATTAAACAGTTCTACCTTACATTTATTCAATTACAGGTGGTTTTATAGCTGAAAAATACCTTGGAAAAGAAGCATTCTGACTGAGCAGCATCGCCTCTACACAGATCTGACCTGTAACTTTCTCTGGTTTGGTCGCCATGAACATAGAAAGCTTTAATGCCATACTGTGAAACATCTCCATGAAGAAAAGCATTTGACAGACCTTTCACAGGAAAAGTTACACAATGCACTTTTAACAGACAGAATTTGAGAAGGAAATCACTACAACATAAACCACAATTAAAAATCTATATAAATTTAAACTAAAACTGATCTCTACCTTTTCTCAATGACCACACAGCAGCAGTAACAACTACTCCAACTTACCTCTTCGCTACACATCCCAAAATCCCCAGTTTGAAGGCATTTTCTGCACTCAGAGGATCCATCGGCATCTGCCCTAGACGCGCCTCGGACCAGTGCGCGGAGAAGGCTACCTACCCGCGTGCTTAGTGAGCGCCATAGTTGCATAATGGTAGAAACGTGCGAGGAGCTGGAGCGAGCAGAGAGACGAGCCCCGTGTGTGCGAATGGCAGGTGCTTTACGACTAGAGCCGAGGGGAGCCGGAGGGAAATATTCTGTCAATGAGTAACTGCTAGGACGACACACATGCACTGGAGGTTATGAGGTTAATTTGAATATAAAAATTATGATGCATGATAGAGCTGATAGCGGACATAGTTCTGTCCTTGAGCAAGACACTGCTCCATTCTTACCCCATATATTAGGGAGGAAGATAATATGGTAATTACAGATAGCAGATAAGATAGGAGTGCTTATATTAAATGCACTGTTTAAAGGGTCTGTGTTATGTTGTTTTCTAATCGTTGTTTCCTCATCAGAAACATACCTGGAGTTGTGTTTTGTTTCAGTCACACATTTTTAGACATAAATCATGCACATTCATGCCAAGTTCTTCTCTCAAACAGAAAACACTCTGTTCCTCCTTTTGAAATCATGTGGTAATACAGGTAAAGCAATATCATTAAAAGGTAAAAGGAGCTGTTAACTTGAAAACTACTGCTTCATGACATCACAAGGAGGAACAATGCATGTTGAGCTTTGGAGATGTAAGACAGACTTATAATAAAGGGTTACTCAAACATGTGTGAATGAAACAAAACAGAACTCAGGGTATGTTTTTGTAGAGGTAACATTAGTCTAACATGGCTTAAATCTCAATGCTGCATTATACAGAACAACAGAAGTGTAATATAGGGGTTTCATATTACTGTAACTTATAACTGTTAAATATTAAATGTAACGAATCTGAAATTATAAGACTACACTGACAGATGGTTGAGGGTAACTCTGAACAGTCTGACTGACAGCCTTGTTTTGTTACTTGATCCTGGTTTACCGGTAGAGTAGGCATCAAATTACTCAGCAGAAGCTAGTAGTAGTATGACCTAATTCACTTAACAGATTAACAGCATATACACAACCAGTCAAAGGTTTGGACACACCCTCTCATTCAATGTTTTTCCCCTTATATTTACTACTTTCTACATTCTGTATACAGAAGACATCAAATATATACAATTTTCTTCCTTGAAAAATAGTTTGAAGTTTATTTTTCTTTTCTACATAACTCCACACATCTTGCTTCAAATGTCTGATATACAAAATGTAGAAAGAAGTAAAATATAAATATAAAATAAAGAAAAAACACTGCGTGAGATGATTTTGTATTACTTATTTTTCCATTTTATTTTGATTTGTACATATGCATTTATATAATAATAACTTATTTGACACCTGTGTGTCATTTTGTTACTTATTTGAATTTATTATTACCATTTATATATATATTTTTTTTTACTCTTTGTTATTATATTATATTGCAATGTGGGAGCTTCTGTGTCCAAATCATTTCCCTTGTGGATCAATAAAGCTTGTCTAAATCCAAATCTAAGTCCCAAAACTATTGACTGGTAGTGTATATTCAGTGATAAAGCCACATTTTATAAAACAAATGAAATCCTACTATCCTACCAGTACAAACCAAAAGGGTCTAACCAACTGGACAATAATGCAAAGCTTTTCATTAAATCTAACGAAATGCAGATGCCAACAGTTCTCTATTGATATTATTATTTATTTTATGCAAAAAAATATAACAATTTTGGTATTTATTGTGCAGATAAAATGAAAAATAAAATAAAATATAATAAAATAAAATACAGCCAGAGTTAGACAATAATATTTTAACTTCGTAGTTTATATATGGTTAGCTTTAGCTTATTAAACCCATTGAACTCCGCATGGATTTAGCAACCTCCAGCTATAAAACAAGCATCTTATGGCGTTTATCACCCTGCACTAAAAGACACAAGACTGACATTGTAATCCAAAATAAAAAATATTGCTGTGAAAACGTAGATTTCTCGTTTTAAGTTAGAATCGGTTTCCAAAAACAAATTAAAAACACGCCAATAACACATGCTAAATGCAGCTAGAGCATCAACTGAGTGAAAATTACAAAGGGAAGACTCGTTCACAGATGATCTATTGCTAAATGTACCCGGAAGAGCAAGAAAATTAAGTTAAAACAGTGTTAAAATGTGAGTAATGTTGTAGGATCACTGGATGATGCAAACCCTTCCATGCTGTCACCGCGAAGCTAACCTAGCATGCTAACAGGAGCAGCTAAACTACACGATTTGCGGCGCGCACTTGCCTGGATAAACTTCACGAGTCCCACACGATCTGCGGCTGGAAATGTGGCGTCCGATGCTTTATTCTTGCCCCCGGTGTAGATCGATCCCAGAGGCTGACACAGTAACGCGATAATGTCATACAGGAGGAGAGAAAAGTCCCTTCCAAATCCGACTGGTGTCAAAATCCTGCGGTGTGCCTGCGCTGCGAGACCTCTCCACTCCGACCTGTTACCTTCCACTGGGGTCGTGGCAGCAGGACGCCATCTAGTGAAAAGGATGAAACCACATTATTTTTTTTTTATTATTATTTGTTTATTTATTTCATTCATAAAGTAGAAAAAGACATCAACAGTGTCCCAATTCAATTCGATTAAATATTTATTAAGCCAGGTCTAAACCAGGTCTAAAACCAAGTCTAAACCAGGTCTAAACCAGGACTAAACCAGGTTTAAACCAGGTCCAAACCAGGTCTAAAACCAGGTCTAAACCAGGTATTAACCAGGACTAAACCAGGACTAAAACCAGGTGTAAACTATGTCTCAAACAGGATTTAACAGGACTAAATCGTGCTGCGTGGACCGTGTCTCTTCGTCTTCTATCAATAATATTTTTGATTTGGTAGAGTAAAGTCTGGGCTTTTTATTTTCTTTTAGCAGATAAAACATTGTATGTTACAATATCCTCGTCTTTGCTTCTCTACAACAAATCAAGTAATCCAAAGTATTCAGATTACTTTACTCACTTTAAGTAATTTAATGGATTACGTTACAAACTACATTTTGGTGTATGTAATCTGTAATCTGTAGGGGAATACATTTTAAAAGTAACCTTCCCAACACTGCACATAGCTAAACACAAACAAACCAGAGGGCCAATTGAGGGTCGTAGACTGGTGCTCAATACAGTGAATAATTGAAATATGTGCATGTTTAACATGTTAGAATGATTCATCAGTCCTTTATTCATGCTAAAATCCTTAAAACCACACACTACATATTAAATATTAACTTTATCAAGATAGATTTTCAAAAAAACTTGCAATAAAAAGTTCATTTTTAATTGATGCAAGGTAATTTGGGCCAATTCTCCTGTAAGCCTGAGGGCCAAGAAAAATTTGTCTGAGGGCCGCATTTGACCCACGGGCCGTAGTTTGGACATGCCTGTTATAATGTATACAGACAAGAGCGCCAGTGTCTCCACAGCTTAGAAGTGAATCTGACAGAGCTCCTCACAGGACACACTAGAACTTCAATGATTCAACTGCTCAGATTCACGGCTCTACACATAAATGAATAAATACAACATCTGATCGTGACGACACAGGGTCTCACACCACAATTCACAAACATTTCACTGGCGCTGCAGAATCTCTGCACTTTCAGTAATATTCTCAAAGAGTCATTATAGGCCACTGTCAAACTCTGCAAACTCTTTTTCTTGTAGTCTTGTGTTCACAACATCAGACATACAAGAAATAAATGAAAAGGAGCAGAAAGAAGAGTCATGTTATGTTATCTGCCCCCTTTTCCCTTTTCAAGACAATACATCTACGCCAATGGGTTACTAAACATTTCAAATAGTACATTTCAGTTCAGGCACAATTATTAATCAATTGCAAACAGAAATCTTCACTATTACACACAACAACTTTTCTTTTTCATACATACACACTGTTTTTGATTGTATGTGTTTTTGTCATCATTGTACTTGATTCTTTTATATCTTTGTCAAGACTATTCCATAAATTAACTCTTTTCACAGCGATGCTTCGTTCCATAACCTCTGTTCTGAATCTGGGTTTTTTAAACATGAAGGTTCTGTTTAAATTGTAGTGGTTTGTTCTCATCTCCAACAGTCTTTGAATATTTACAGGTGACACATTGCACTTTGCTTTATACATGATTTTGAGGAGACTTAAATCAACAATATCATATGTTTTCAATACTTTAAGTTGAACAAATAACAGGTTGGATGGCTCTCTACAATGACTGTTTATTGATAATTCTCTCTCATTCTTTTTTGTAAAATAAATAAAGGCTGTAGGTAAGTTTTACATGTTGACCCCCAAATTTCTACATAGTCCATCAGATCTGGTGCAAATATAGAGTTATACAAAGTTAATAATGCTGCACTATTTAGTGAGAACTTTACTTTATGCAGAACAGCAATGGCTTTGGAAATTTTGCCTTTAGTGTCATTTATGAGACAAACTCCAGTTTAGACCTTCATCAATCATAACTCCTAAAAATTTGGTTTCATTTACTGTTTGAATCTGTATCCCATCTATTTCTAATGTTATGTTGTCTTTTTTCTTTTTATCATTAAATAAAATGAATTAGTTTTTTTTAAACATTGAGAATCAATTCATTTAAATCAAACCAGTATATACCCGTATAAACAGGACTGAGGAAAGACTAGAATACACTGCCATGCAAAAACAGCTAATATCTCTAGGCGTTAGGCAAGTTTAAAGTTCCTATATGATGCTAAATTTACTCTTGTGAGCTTTTATGTTATAATATTGTTGCCTGCTCCAAAACAGACCTGGAGTTGTGTTTTGTTTCATTCACACGTCCTTTATTATTTGTCTATCTCCATCTTCAAAGCTCAAATGCTCTGTTCCATCTTGTAATGTCATGAAGCAGTAGATTTCAAGTTAACAGCTACATTTAACCTTTAGTTTAGTAGAGATTGGCAGCTCCAGGTCTGAAAACATCCAAATGATTCTAGTGAAGGTTTATAGAGCAGCTTGTTCCACTGATAGATGTAATAAAGATATTGTGTTCTTCATTCAAATTATTATAAGTTATTGTCATTGAATATATGCAGTGTTGGGGAGTAACAGATTACATGTACCGGAGTTATGTAATCAGAGTACAAATTATGAGTAACTGTATTCAGTTACAGTTACTGTTTCAGTGAGTGGTAATTGGATTACAGTTACTTTGTTGAAATAAATGGATTACATGGCGGTGTTTTCCTGTTTTCACATTTTGGGCTATTCCCTTTTTTTCTCCCCTATTTTTTCGGTAATTCCACTCATTGCCAGACACTAAACCAGGTCTAAACCAGGTCTAAACCAGGTCTAAACCAGGTCTAAACCAGGTCTAAACCGAGGTCCAAACCAACTCTAACACCTGGTCTAAAACCAGGTCTATAGGACTAAAGCAGGACTAAAGCAGGACTAAAACCAGGTCTAAACCAGGTGTAAACCAGGACTAAAACCAGGACTAAACCAGGTCTAAAACAGGACTAAAACCAGGTCTAAACCACATCTAATCCAGGACTAAAACCAGGTCTAAACCAGGTCTAAACCAGGACTAAAACCAGGTCTAAACCAGGTCTAAACCAGGACTAAAACCAGGACTAAACCAAGTCTAAACCAGGTCTAAAACAGGATTTAACAGGACTAAACCAGTAAAAAACCATGTCTCCTCGTCTTCTATCAATAATATTTTTTTTATTTGGTTCAGTAAAGTCTGGGCTTTTTTTATTTTCTTTTAGCAGACAAAACATCTCATGTGAAGATTTCCTGGACTTTGCTTCTCTACAGCAAATCAAGTAATCCAAAATATTCAGATTACATTACTCACTTTAAGTACTTTAATGGATTCCGTTACAAACTACATTTTGGGGTATGTAATCTGTAATCTGTAGGGGAATACATTTTAAAAGTCACCTTCCCAACACTGAATATATGTAAGGTCGAGCTGTTGAATTTCATACTGTGGAATATTATAGGCAGAGCAATGACATTCATAGAAACAAGCAGGTGACAGACCCTCCACCAGAAAAGTTACACAATCCACCTTTAACACTTGTCATCTTATCGTTCAACAGATAAAACAGATGGAACAATTATTTTTGGGGTGTCAATATTTAGTGTGGGGAACTTTTTACTATTTTTACTGTTCTATGATTAGATCTGACATGTAGAGGGTAAAATAAATCACTTCAATTACTCATTAATCAAATATAAAAAGGGTTTGATGATGCTATGTATTTACTGCAGTATTTTTAGCCATATTGTACATTTGGAATAATTTTTGAGGATAATTCTATTTTGTTATTGTTAGTAATGCACATTAGTTTCAATATTACAGTTTATATTTTTATATTTTGCATTGTTAAAGGTACATTATGTAACTTTTCTAGGGAAGAGTCCACCACATGCTCATCATCTCCATGGAAACATTATTACTTTGCCTGAAATGTTCCTCAGTAAAAGTCATCTAATCTTCATAGAAACAAGCAGATCAGAACTGTGGAGAAGTGACCCCACTCTCAGTAAGAATGCATGTTCTTAAAGGAATTTATGTATAGCAAAAAAAAACAAAAAACACGTATAATGAAGTAAATGAAAACTATATTTGTTTTTTGCCATGCTGTGGAACATTCCTGACAAAGCAATGGCATACACATGACCCAAGCAAGTAAGTTACACAATGTACCTTTTAAAATCTAATCTGAAATCTGAAAATACCGCAACAGGGCTGAAAACATCCAAATGATTCTAGTGAAGGTGTATGGAGGAACTTTTTGTCCGCATTGATAGATGTAATAAAGATATTGTGTTCTTCAATCAAATTATTATAACTTACCTATTTATTTATTTAATTTTATTTATTTTTTGGCAGTGTGGGTGTTTAAAATACACGTTTCACTAGTGTTTGAGATTTTGGAATTTCATTTCTATGCAAAAATGAGCTTTGTTTTGTTCTTTTACCACATCTTTAAACTGTTACGTCAGTGACATAACAAAAGAGCACATTCAGGCAGATTACCTGTAGAAGTAGCCTACTGTTACAAATTTGTGTAAGATTTCACTATCAATAGAAGAACTGAACCAAATACTAAACTTATCTTGAGCACTAATTGATTTAAAAAGATAAAAACATACATGTAAGAAAATGACATTTATTTTGTAAAAAGGCAATATTATAAGGACTGAGCCATACATTTACACGTTTTTATATATTTGAAAGTGCCTATGATAGCTTGGATAACTAATTTGACCAAAACACAGTTAAGACCATTATATTTAAGATGTAAGAAATGTTACTATTTTTTCCCAGTTTGGTCAATATGCATGTTTAAAATTGTACTTCCTGGTTGGAAATCATGACATCATACCTGTTACCAAGCAAAACTCTTCTAATGTACAGAGAAACGTTTATTTGACAAATAAAAATACAAGAAAATCCCTTTATATTGTTCAATGTGTTTCTTGTTGTGACAAACTTTTTAGACAGAATTCTCCCAGCATAGTATCATCAATATGGAACTGCTACTCCCAATCCTACTTCCTGTAATTTCCAACATATTTTTCAACTTTTTTTTGTAATTTGTTTCTTGATTGGTGTAAACAGTGTTGGGAAGGTGACTTTTAAAATGTATTCCCCTACAGATTACATACCCCAAAATGTAATTAGTAATGTAATCCATTAAATTTCTTAAAGTGAGTAATGTAATCTGAATACTTTGGATTACTTGATATTGTCATGTTTTTTAAAATGACATGAATGCAACAACCACATTCTGAAATTTCTTGTTTGTTCTCTTCAAATTGTCTGTTGAGCCCAAGTCTCCATGAACAGACTTTTGTTTACTGTAGAGAAGCAAAGACTAGGAAATCGTAACATATAATGTTTTGTCTGCTTAAAGACAATAAAAAGTCCAGTCTTTCCTTAACCAGATTAAAAATATTATTGATAGAGAAATGCTTTGTTTATGAGATCACCTTAAATTATGTCCACCTACTGTTAAAGAGTCATATTGTTTTAGAAAGAAAATCACTTTCACTATAAACATAAAGGCACCAGCCCAGTAAAAATCAGTAATATTGGATGTTTTTTACTCAAAATGAGGCAGAATCTGATAATTATCAACGCCTCGTCCATTGTGTGACTGATACCGTTAACAAGATGTTTACGTCGCTCTTATTGCCGCGTTCTGTTTGGGTTTCCAGCAATGAGTGGAATTACCTAAATAAAATAAAAAAAAAAAAAGGGATATAGCCCCAAATGTGAAAACAGGAACATAAGGCAATGTAATTCATTTATTTCAACCAAGTATACTGAAACAGTAACTGTGACTGAATACAGTTACTCATAATTTGTACTCTGATTACTTAACTCCGGTACATGTAATCTGTTACTCCCCAACACTGGGTGTAAAACTATAATTTATATTTACAACTGTTATTATGTCACCAAATTAAGTCAAAATTAGAGAATCATAAAACCCAGTCATACACACTTTAACTGTGCCTTGTATTTCACGTGGTCTTATACTATTGTTGTGTTATGTTGTGTTCTGTTGTTGCTATAGAACTGCACTGGATGTTCCTGGGGCGAAGAATGAGGCTCCTTTGTCGTGGACCTTGAACTGAAAGAGTTTGTTGATTGAGTTCTGCCCATCAGCCTGACGCCGTCTCCAGCTCACCTCCATCTGCAACAGCACAGGAAAATGTCAGGATCATTTAGTTTTTCCTCTTCTTATTAAAATTATGTACCCAAATGAACTTTATTATCAGCAAAGTCTAAGTAGCAAAGTACAGTACAACAAAAGTATACAAATAAAAAGAGCTAGAAAAAATACTTTTTTTTTTTATTATTCAAGTTTTAATTTTATTTTTAATTTTTTACCATATAACGTAATGAAATTACACATTACTTTGGGCCGAAGGAGTAAAACAACAAATTTATCTGTACATATGCATATGCAAGGGCACTCCAGAGCAAAAATAAACAATAAAATAAAACTGTCAAAGTGCATGTGACAAGCCTCCGTAACTCTCTAATTTCCACTCAGTTTAACCCGTTACAAATACAATTAATTTCAATTCTAAATAAAAAGGCCACATCGATGCCACATCCACAAAGTGCAAAAAACAAAGACTTGTTTTCCCAGTGTACCAATTTCAAATGTTTTAGTCAATTGAGTAATCAAACCTGTCACAGGCATTTCAATCAAAAACAGGTGCCCAAGATTTTACAAAAATGTCCACGTTATCATTCATCTGAGCCAATAATTTCTCATATGAGACTTAAACCACTCCTTGTGCAAAGTTCATATGAAACACAAACATTTTTATCCTCAAAACAGAGTCAAAATGTCAAATGTGTCGCATAAATGAGTTTCCTTTCAGTCCACAAGCAACAAAACTGTAGCACTGTAACAAAATAATTTACTAAAACACACCGAAAAATACTCTTGGTGATATATTGATACAGCAGCCCACGATATCGATACCGTATCATCACATTAAACGATACAATATTCCGATATTTTTGCACACCCCTACTAAAATGCTACTAAAATTGCATAAATGGTAAATGGTCACGTTTTTATACAGCGCTTTCTACCTCCAAGGCTCAAAGTGCTTTACAACAAGGAACCACTCACACATACACACACATTCATACACCAGAGTACACAGACACTGGGGCCACGTAGGGTAAGTGTTTTGCCCAATGACACAACAGCAGCATACACCTGTGGGAGTTGGAGTCACACCAGCCAACCTGTGGGTCAGTGGATTTGACCGCTCAACCAATGATGTTTACGTCGAGAGCAGGAATCAAACCACCAACCTTCGGATCACTGGACAAACATTACTACCACTGTCAGTAGGTAACTAGTACTAGTAGTTCAAAAAATCTTTAATTTTCACTATTTTTTTCTACCATTGCTTGCATATAAAAAGTGTTTCCCCTCTTTACCTGTCCGTGTATGTCCCTGCAGTAGCCGGTGGGGAGACCCTGTACATGAAGGGCGAGCGAGCACTGGTGAGTTAGGCCTCTCAGGAGCTGTTCTGCACCTTCATCATCATCTTCCTCTTCATCACAATGGAGTAACATCACCACGTTTCCCTTTAGTGGAGAAACAGCAGTGTTGATTGATTATTGATGATTTAAAAGTACAAGTTTGTGTGTCAAACGTGTCAATGAAAGAAAACACCACCCCAGACATGTTTTTGATGAGGAAACATTATAATAGATCAGTAAACACCATAATATAGGCCCTTTTAACAAAAAAAGGAGAGGAAGGAGAGATAAGTCTGATCTGAATCCTCACTACCTAAACCCCAACACTGCAGCAAATCATTAGGTATTGCATAAATCAGGATATTTAGTTAAGCAGTTGGTAATTGGTACCACACAACCTATTAAAAAATGCATTTTAAACTGCATATTGATACTTTGCAGCTAATTTCATCAACATTCCCTGGGAGTGTGAGTGTGTGCTAACTGAAAGCATTGCTCTGTTAGAAGTTCTGTTACTCAAGCTAGAGTTTAATCTGATCTTTATTTTAACACAATCTTAGACTTAGAAGTTAGAACTACAACAGCCTTTGTACCTTTTTGTTGAAAATCAAACACTGAAATAGGCCAATAAACCTTCCTACTGATCACAGGCTCCTGAAAACGTGCTGTTACATTTCATTTTGTGTTTTCAGATGATCTTAAAACTTTTTTTCTGTTTGCTAACGTGTGCACTGTGTCACCATGGTAACTGATAACCATTCCGCCAATAGAGGTACACGTAGAACACCTCCAGAGCAATGTCACTGCAAAGTATGAGTGCAGTGACGTACAGATGTGAGGTACCTGTAGCCTGGAGCAGACTGTGGCTCTGCAGTAGTGGCTGAAGTCCAGGACGGCCCCCACACTCACACCCAGACTGAGCAGGAGGTTGAGGTCATCCACCAGCAGCACCGGGGGGCCCCACTCCTCTGACGGCCCACCGCTGTCAGGAGCACCCGAGGGATCACTGCAACTGGAACGCACAAACTGGAACAGATCCCGAAGGCCCTTTGTGGGATCCCTGTTAAAAAGAAATATCTGATTAAAGGGCCCATATGATGCCATTTTCTGATCTCTGTTATAATGTTGTTTCCTCATCCCAAACAGACCTGGAGTTGTGTTTTGTTTCATTCAACAATTAGACAAATCTTAGGTGTAATCATCTGAAACAAAGTCCAATGAAGCTAACTCTAACCTGAGAAAGTTAAGTGCCTCGTTCCCCGTTTGTCCTTCTTGTGGAATCAGATGTGACAAAGACTCCTGTAGACCCTCCAGGAACACCAGCTGTCCTTTCTCCTTCGCTTGGACCAGACTTACACCCTGCAGCAAAAACCAACATCACATGGTGCATAAACATGATGATAACAAAGAGCCATACCCTTGTCAGACCCTTCTATGAAGATTTTTTGTTTTTATTTGAACCAGACTATATGAAGCTGCCAAAGCTGACACATATCACTGTATAAAATTGTAGAATGAAGTAATTACAGAGCAGTGGGTGTGTATCGCTGGCGGCAAAAACAGGGGTTGGATCAGAAAATAAAGATTACTCAAACATGCACAATTCACTTGAAATCATACAGCCTATGTTCCGGATACAATTTCAGAGGGTAAATTAGAAGAGAAAACAACTACAGAAAGTGAGACAAAGCCTGCACACTTACTTCCAAACTGCAATTAATGAATGATAATGTTTCAATCAGTGGATCTTCCTCAAGTCACGGTTCTCTCTGTGATCCACTGGGAGTAATAATAATAATAGTGTGCAGGCTCGTCTCACTTTCTCTGTTCACTGTAGTAGCCTTGCACCAGTGATGTGTGTATACCTATACCTTTTAAGATAAGGGATAACAACTATAACATGGCTATAGTTAGTTTTTGGTCTTCTCAAAAAGAGTATTTCAGGTTTGAATTATTACAAAATTCAGCAGCACGTGTCCTGACGAGGACCAGAGGGCAGGACCACATTACACCGTTTTAGAATCACTGCATTGGCTCCCTGTGAGTTTCAGGATCGATTTTAAAGTTCTTTTACTGTTTTTTAAATGTCTTAATGGTCTTGGGCCTTCTTATCTTTCAGAACTGTTTTTACCCTACAAACCCTGGCGGACCCTGTGCTCCTCTGGCAGCAGCTCCTGGTCATTTCCAAAGTCACGGAGAGGCGTCTTTTCAGAACTGCCTGCCGGAGGAGCTCAGGGCCAAACGTTCATGTTTTTAAGAGCAGGCTCAAGACCCACCTTTTTAGCTTAGCTTTTGATTAAAATCTTTTTTTTTATCTGTTTCTATTTTACACATTTTATTATATTTATTTATTTTAGGCATATTTTTAGGAGCCCTCTGCATCCAGAGCAGAGGTCGGCTGTGGCTGCCTGGTCTGTCCCGTGGGCTCCTGGTGGAGGGCTGGTGCTTGGGCTTCATCTCTCCCCTGGGCCCTGTGGTGGTTCCTGGTGGTGGTGGACGTCTCTCTGCTCCTGGTGTAGACGGCTCCTCTGATGGTGCTTTCTCAACTGGTTTGCCTGTATTCAGCCTCACATTTTACTATAGGTAGTTTTATGTATTTTACCATGTTAGTGTGCGTGTGTGTCTGGGTTGTTTGGTTCTGTGGGGTCAGGCAGCTGTGGGGGTTGGATAAGTGGGTGGTCAGACGGAAATGTGGGATTGTTTTTAATCACCGTAAAGCACTTTGTGTTACATTTTTGTATGAAAAGTGCTTTATAAATAAAGTTTGATTTGATCCGATTTGATAAAAGCTTTGAAAAGTTGATTTTGCATAATAGGTCAGCTTTAAGAAGATGAAATATGTGAATCTACTTACCAATCGTTGGCTGACTGCATTGTAATGACTAAAGGACTGTACCAGGCCCAAAAAACAAACTTTACAGCGAGCTAGAAGAGACAGACAGACACAAAACAATATTTAAAATATATAATATGATCTTTAGAATTAACAGTGGTTCTGAAACTTTTTTAGTTGCAACCCCCATAATAACAGCATAAGCATTCGTGAATTTAAGTGTTTTTATTTTGGTTTGGTTAGAAATTATGACAATGAAAATAAGGATAAGTTTAGTTCATGTCAAATAAAGTATTAATTTATTTCATTCGTAATTGTACATAACTTACCTCGAAGATAAAATGAGAGAAAGTGATGGATGAGAAACGAGGCGTCACATCTTCTCTCGGAGATGATGATGAACTCTTCCTGTGGAACAGTTTGGACCAGCTCATATTTATGAACAGAACCAATGCTAATGCTAACAGCTACTGCTACAAACACGCACGCCTTTTAAACATCTGACAGCTGTTATTCATCATTCTTACAAACCTGTGCGTACGTGTCCTTTAGATTACAATGATTTCTTAAAAAGTTGAGGTTTACCTGCGAGAACTTCTCCGGGGAAGAGTTCAGGATGCTGTTGAGCTCTGCAAACATGGCTAGCTACAAGAAGTGAGCTAACTATATGGACATCAGCAGCGATCGGAAAAATATAATACGAGTAATGTTGAATATATATGCAGTTTAGGTCTATTACGTCCATATATCTGCAGTATCTGTGAAGAAAAAGGATAGTTTCAAGGCGAACTGTGAATCGGGTAACTTGTGTGAAAAAGCCATGTGCGCTCTCTGCGTGCGTGTGTGCGTGCGTGTGTGTATGGAACAAAGATCCGATGAGTTACTCTGATGTGTATTTATATTGATTTATTTATGAATATAATTTTTTTTATACTACGTTGAAGATATATTCAAAATAAAGTCATGTGAATTAATTTATGTATTCTGTTAAATTAATTCTTTTTAATGAATGCAGAATGTTTTTTTTTTTTAAAGAAAAAGAACATGACAAATAAACAGTGCAGAGACTTTATTCTGACAACACTAGTAAAAATAAATAAATAAATAATAATAATAATAAATTATTATTACATTGACCAAAAGTGGATTAATTGTGGTAATAGAAAGCGACCTCTGTACAATAGAGGATCTTTGGAGTGGCGTACGTGTAAAGCCCCGCAGCGTCCTCTTGTGGTGGATTTTTTATTGATGAATTAAAGCACTGACAACTCCATTTTTGTATTTCCTGCAGCATTTTCCCATCCAATAGACAATCTTCCCCAAATCAAGACCATTTCTGAACTTCATTAACAGAATATGTTTTTAAACTATATTTATGTAACACACAACATAAATTCATTTTTACAGGAACATTTGCAGACCGGGTGAACAGGTGCCACCTAGTGCCTTCACTCAATTTCATTTCTCTCCAGTGACTAGGTCAGGAATCAGAATACACTAGACTCTAAACTTCACAGCTCTGTATTAATGGACCAAGGAACAAACAAACTAATGGTGACGCTCCGTAGCCAATCAAATGTGAGCATTCAAGACGACTCTGAACACAGACAGAGGAAAGAGGATTTGAGAAATCTGTTGAAAAATGGATTGAGACTGTTAAGTTGAGATGTGAAAGCTCAAGAAAAAGGGAAAATCAAGCTGCTATTTTTTCCCCTGAAATGAAGCACTTTGTTTTAAAATGCACAATTTAGCCATTTTATTTATTTTCTCTAATTAATTTGAATCTACAGCCCTATAACTAATGTAGGACTACTGTGTGTTTCAGTGTTAACAAGTACATTTTGTTGAAATGTTTTGAGCTTGTATTTTCGTTGATTTGACAGTCTATTGTTCGTACATTCAGAAGTGTGTGTGTGTG